GTGACCACTACTACCTTATAACTACCATTTTGCCATAATTCAGTCATCAAAAAGGAGATCCTGTCCTATCAAAATAATGAAAATAAGCTAATACAATCACATCCCATGCGGCCATTAAATGGTCACCCCCAACCTATAAAACATCAGTGTTATCTATACCAGTGGTTCCCAAACGGTGTGCCGTGAGGCAAGTCCGGGTGTGCCGTGGGATTTTGTGACAACCATACGTTATTATTGCAATATACAACTACACAAAAATAATTATTTTTTAATTTACTATAATATCAGTACTTTGTAGGTTTATATGTACGTAATCTGCGCGACTTGTGCGTCCACATCTCCACGTGCAGTGCTGCATAAACATGGCTGAGTCAGCGATAACTTTCGAGGGGTGGAGGTATGCCCATTACTTTGAGTTCGTCCGAAGAATAGACAGGAATGTGACGGTGAGGTGCAAACTGTGTCCAGGCCAGAAGCTGTTATCAACTGCTGTAAACACCACGTGGTCAGACCTCAACAAACACCTGCAAAGAACACATGCTTTTTTGTTTATATCACGTATTCTGTTCTTCTTCTCTGTCGGTTGTTGCCTGTTTTGAATGACAAATACACACTACCGCCGCCTGCTGGTAAGGAAAGTTATTGCCACTCACGCATGCGCAGTTCGTACGTGCTCGGCGAGTAAAGTAACAAGTAAAGTAATGAGTTACTTTATGTAGATAGTAACGAAGTAGTGTAATATATTACTTTTTTTAAAGTAATATGTAATATATATTAGGGCTGTCAAACGATTAAAATGTTTAATCATGATTAATCACCATTCGAACTATGTCCAAAATATGCCATTTATTTATGCATATTGTTGTGGGAATGGAAAGATAAATGAAAGAAGGCGGATATATCCATTTAACATACAGTATCTATGTTTATTATAAAAAAATTCTGCGTGTCAAAATGAAAGACAACCCACACACCTATCAATCATCAAACCGTGGGGACCACAGAGTGTGAACGTTGTGATCAGCTGTTTTAGCGCAGTTCTCCAGTGAAGGGGGGGAGTCTCCCTCCGCAGCCGGTTGGCGTAGTTTTGGCACAATTCCGTTGTACAGACCGACGTTAACAGCAGCCCTGTCTGTGCACACGGAGACCGACTCTGTCGTCCGGTGATCTAACCGCCTTCTGTAAAAGCTTCACAAGTACGTCGGTACGCAAATGCGCTTTGTGACACAAGTGACGGTACGCATTTCAGATTACGCACATAACCTGCGTACCAGTTATGTGCACCCCTGTACTACAGCAAAAGTATTCTCCGTCGGGACTTCCTGCAACAACACCACGCCGTTATCAAAGATGTTCTATTGGGAAGACGATCACTACGTGACAAAAGTTTTCAAAACCGTGGCTACTGAAATCAATCTTACTAACTGCTGTCTGTGCAATTTACTCCGCGCGAGTTGGCAGACTTTATTTTGCTTCCTTTAACATAATTTTTCATGGTGGGGCTAAGCCATTTCTTGGTATGGCTGTAGCCTACCCCAGCGGGGCGGGCCATTCTGCACATGCGTTAAATATTTTAACGCAATTAATTCAAAAAATTAATTACCGCCGTTAACGCGATAATTTTGACAGCACTAAATATATTACATTTTTTTAGTAACGACCCCATCTCTGATTTACATGAAGAACAACAGGAGGTCACGGCTCTCTGTTGAACAGGACTTGCGAGTGGCCCTCTCTTCAGTGCCACCAAGGATTTAAAAAATCTGCGTGCCCCGACAGGCACATGTATCTCACTAATTTGTAAATCGGCAAACATATTTACAATAGCACATGTTTCAATGCTGATTGCTGAAATGTTACATTTATAATTTGTAGTTCAGGACCATGGACAATGCAGCTTCCTTGCATTGACAGTTCTCTGTGCTGAATTTCTGCTGAGTTTCCTTTGCCTCATTTTTAATGTTGTGACCTGTCTGGTTTAAATGAGTGTGTTGCTGCTTTGATGAAGCCTAATTTGATAAAGTTTCAAATTAATTTCTGAAATATTTCGTTAATAAATATTTCATGAGTAATATAGTTGTCTGTCACATTTTATTTGGCATTAGTAAATAATTATGCACATTTACAGATATTTTACATGATATGAGTGATAACACGTGTTATAAGAGCTATTTTGCACAATAGGTGTGCCTTGAGATTTTTACTTTCCTTTGGTGTGCCTTGGGCACAACAAGTTTGGGAACCACTGATCTATACATTATGCTTACATTTATCCAGACCCATTGGTGGCTTCAAAGACTTGTTCCACACTCCAAAGAACAGCGCATTTTCGCAAAAGCTTTCCCATCTGGCTTTGATCTGGTCAGTGTAGTTCTTGTTGCCTGCCTCTAGAATTCGGCCCATCTCGTCCAAAACCTGAGTGTAAAAAACTATAGAACTTTGATACAGAGAAAACAGCAAACAGATGTTAGATGTCTAAATAATTAACAAGAGATTTACCTTTTAAGAGTGACACAGTTGTGTCATCAAATCTATCCATCTCACCATGAAGAAGCATTCTGTAATTTACAGGAAAAGACGGCCACTGTCATTTTAAAAGTCAACCCCAAAACAAATCACATTAAAAAGGCATCAGACACTAAATTGTAAAATTGCTGTGATTCACTATGAACTAGCTAGGTCGACGTTAGCTAGTCTACCACCACCCTTTGCGTTTTAACTAACTGCTAGCTTTTAACAGATACAATTACTGAATACCAAAAGAAAACGTCTAATTTTGTGTTCCTTACAGACAGTTTATTTATCTGAGAGTAGTTAACGTTAGCTAGCTTAATTTTTGCATACCCCATTAGTGAGGTTAAGGTTAGCTAGCAACACGTGCTTCGTAGTTAGCTAGCTATCTTAGCTAATTCAGCTAACAGTTAACCAATGAATGTACTAATACTTAATAAATTGAAAGCACTAATATGTTACATACGCCTATGGACTTGTATTCATACGTTCAGTTACTAACGTTACCTTAACTGCACTTCTTGGTCGCTGTCCTGCCTCTCTGCTGAAGGTGAACTGAACAACGTGTTACATTCCGCTGGCGCTTGGCTTGTGGTGCGTACAGGTGATCCTCGTGAAATAGGAAATTCCCCGTTTGCCATCATTTGGACACAAACAACCATCCACTTGTAAACACTGAGGACTGAGGAGGATCTCTCGATGTAAATAATATAGTACTGGCATTCGTTGTTTACATCTTTTAGTGGATATTGTCATTGATCCAGCTTCTGACAAACACATGGTAAATAAAGTCACACATTTTCCGACTTTATGAGAGATACAAACAACACTTGAATGCACATTCCAGGTTTTTCTTCTTTCAGGGCCAATGAGAAGCAGAGTAGGGGCGGGTCTTCGCATAATTAAATAATGAAGCAAGCGCCAAATTCGCACACACCACTGAGAGCAATCGTTATAGTCGTCCACATCTGATGAAGTGTGTGAAAATCAAAGTCAAAGATATTGTGATTATTTTGTTTGTTATCCATATCGCTCAGCCATACTTGGTGTGTTAAGCTGTTCATGTTTAAATGTGTAATGTGGCATGGATTGTTTGAACAAGTTTGGTGTGAAAAATGAAAAGCACCACAACCTCAGAAATTAAGATATTGTTCTTTGTCCAGTATTGCTTATGCCATAGAGCAGTGATTCTCAAACTTTTTTCAATAATGTACCCCCTTTGAAAAAAAAATTCAGCCATGTACCCCCTGATCAGCGCAAAAACAATTTGTTAGGGAAGAAATGCCTATATAAAGAGGTACAGTACAATGCTGCGCCATCAGTGTCTGATTTATTAAAACAACAACCTTGTAACTGAGAAACACTTAAATGCTACATTTCAAATGTTTACAATCCATCACTAAATTCATGGCAAACCAATTTTAACATCATGCCATAACACTAAGACGACATTAGTTGCATTGAACTGATCTTTTTAATAAGTTGTACTTACAATGTAGTGAGAAACATGGGCTTGTGCTTCACTGAGGACCTTTGTCATTCTGACAGGGAGGCAAACGTTGTTACACTTCGCGTTTTGAAATATGTGTAACTCTGTTAATATAAAACCCACACTGCTCTAACTTCGTTACTTTTCCTAAAATTGGTATTTTTTTTCTTTTTCCAATTAACATAAAAATAAATCTCACGTACCCCCTGCAGTACTCCAACGTACCCCTTGGGGTCTGCGTACCCCCATTTGAGAACCACTGCCATAGATAATAAGAGACCAGATAACAGGGGAAAGAGACGTTCCTTGAAGGAAGAGGGAGGGGGTACTGAGTAGCTGGCAGCCCCTCCCAACAGTGTTCTCACTGCTCAGGGACCCCCACCTTGTTACCAGTTCCAGGGCAGTAACAGAGTAGAGATTGCACACCTACCTCAAGAGTCAATGTCATGCATATCATCAGTTATTCTGGTCCATATCCTTTAGGAGAGTGTGTTATGATGATTATCAGTTCATTTTTTGATTATCATTAAAAGAGATGTTAATTCTTGTTTGAATTGTGTCTTTACCAGCTGGGGAAATAACTTATGTTAACCACAGAGCTGATACTTGAAATTCATTTTTTTCTTCTTGCCATACTAGTGCTTAAAATAAGGCTTTTTAGCCTTGAAGTGGATGTTTTATAGACAGGTCCCTTAGTTAAACATAACTAAAATAAAGACAAAGTTGCTTATCAAGACAAGGCAAGTAACATTTACTTGAATTAAGTCAAAAAAATCTTCCATAGAAAGCACTAGATAAGCTATTTAAACTCAAATCAAGACAAACTAGATTTAGAATCTAAATTTAAGATTATTACACTTGGTTAGATCTGCAGTTTTTGCAGTGTATCGAGCACTGATCAAAAGACAGGCAAACAAGGAAGAAGCTGAAGTTTCAAGTTTAAGTTTCTGAAAATAACTTGGACTGATGCTGACGCTGCTGTGTGTTTTTGTGTCCTTAGATATTGACGAGTGTGCAGAGGGCCTGATCGAGTGCCACAATCACTCTCGCTGTGTCAACCTGCCCGGCTGGTACCACTGTGAGTGCAGAAGTGGTTTCCATGACAATGGCTCCTACCTGCTCGATGGGAGATCCTGCATTGGTAAGCATACGTTGCATTGTAAACATCCTTATCACTGCTTGAAATACCAGTGCCTGAGCGCACCACTTAATTGCTTTGCTTATCCCCCCATTTCTGTGTTCACAAGCTCATGAATTATGAATACTGTCACTGCGAGGCTTCCTCTTCAGGTCCCTTTTATCTCTGGTCTCCTACATCATAACTTGATTGCCATTCTTTGTTTCATTTATCCTCTTTGAAAATCTAGCATGTACAAAGACAGATGCTGGATTGATGTTATACAGTACAGTATATGGATATATATGTGTGCTTTAATATGCCATCCAGCTGGTTGTCAAGCCCACTCAGTTTCTCCCTTCATTATTCTATAGGCTTGCTCCATTTAGAAAGAAAATTATGGGACGAATATTTATTTAAATAATGCTAGACAGAATTGTGGAAGATTAAGCACATAGGGTACTCCACTTGGGCAGCAGGAGTGGGTCAGCAGGAATGAGACGAGATACAAAAAAAAGAAATATAATATTAATGGTTTCTATGAGTAAAGTAAATAAGGCACAGAGGAAAAAAAAAAAGACACGGAATGAAAAAACACAAAAAAGGCCTTAATAATAAAAGAGGATGAAGAAAAACGTTAAAAATAATAAGGAGAAAAAGGGCCATTGAGGACAATAAAATAAATGTCAAATAATGAGAATATAAATAAAATAACATAACAATTTAAACAATGAATGTGATATCATAATCATAGAACCCTGAAATATATCATAAATCATCATATAAACATTTGGTTTATGTGCATATTGCTGCAAAAATAGACTTTAAATATAAATAAAAACGTTAGGTCCACTGGCATCAGCTCAACAGGTCGATTGGGCCCCTGAGGTATTGTTGCTAACGGTCCCTACAGACATCGGATCATCACTGCTTACGAGCAGGCTAATCAGAGGTCTTCACACCTTCACAGCTGCGGTTCTAACATGCGGTGTGTATCCCACACACACGATCCTTGATGAGATATTCATGAGGAACACACGTTAGCCTTGTGCTGCTTGAAGATGTTGAAATGCACCCTCAGTCACAGGCGCTCCCACAAAACCATAAATTCCCACATAAAGAAACATATAAAGTAAATTGGTACTATGATGAACTGTAAACTAAAGCTTTAAAATTGGCTATAAAGTATTTGCCTCTGAATTGTAGTGGAGAAGAATTTGAAGTGGCAACGAATGATAATACTCAAGTTAAATGCAAGTACCTTCAATTTGTACTTAAGTACAGTAAATCAATAAATGAACTTGGTAGCTTTTTACCCCCGTTTATAACACAGTGGCTCAAGAGGAACAATAGAGCAATAACTGAAACACGAACAGAGAGAAGTCAATAATATTTCAGTTGAGTTTACTTCTGCTGCTTATCTCCCCCCCATATCTGTAATGCGGTCAGGTTTTTTATTCTACGATCACATTATGCTCTGTAGTAAGTATTATCCTGCATGTCTATACATTTCCAGGCACGATTATAAGCTGTTTTTCTTTTACGTTGCCTGGAAACTGTTCTCCTGCTAAATATATGTTTCTTATTTTGTTGGAGCTCGGTGTCCAACAGTGCGGCAACTTACCCACAATTAACTTGTGGAGGTTAGGAAATGAAAAACAGAAACTCAATACTGAGGACTTCCACATTATCTGAAACAAAACATATTTGAAATGTTGAATACAAAGATTTGTTATACTTTTGTATCAGTTTTGCAGATTTGAGCCACTCAGATGCTGCTAAGTATGTTGATCAAATAACATTGATCATTTTGATCAGTTTATACTGTTTTATTATTTCCAGGAATGTTTCAGATTTAGTTAGAGGAAATGTATTTGTTTTCCAAATCTGGTAAGACGCCCTTACTGAAAACAGGTTCCCGCACGTATGGTAAAATGTTTACCATTGCAACCGTCTTAGTGTATTTCTGTGCTGAAATATCTTCCATAAATCAGCACATCACGATTTTCAGTGGTTCAGCATATTACAGATGACAATCTGCCTGCAGGAGAGCAGGACCTCAGAATAATAAATATCACTCAAAAAATCCAAGGCACTGCTTTTATTTTTGCCGATAGCACTTAATGTAAAACTGTAATAGATGCAGCAAACAGGACCGCTTGACTGAATGAAACGCTTTCACTTAACATTTAAATATAAATGCTACATCAGCAGCTCGCTTTTGAATGATTTACTTTGAGGGGGAGGTATGATTTCAGAAGCTTCCCTCCGAAATTGGTTTCACTCAAATGTAATTCTTATGGAAAGTGATGGACAGACGGACCGCATATGTCAGACTAGTCCATAGCATCTCAGTCATCAACTCAAATAGTCTCTTACGAATGTGTCCATCCTCAGATTTCCTGTTCATTCTCAATTCAGAGTTGTTAGAAGGCAATAATTCGCAATAATGAATTCAGTTGAACTATATATGTTCAATAAATCAATTGCAATAAGCTATATTATTTTCAAAATGGCTTGGTAATATTCACATGTTGGAATTGGAGTGTTCCTTAATATGTTAAACATGAATACAATATAATTTCACATCCAAAACATTACATGAAATGGACACACAGGCTCTGAATGAATAATGTCTGATAATGTCCAAGTCTTATAATGCCTTGCTGTTCATTCTGGCATCGTCTTGGCTAAAATGTTAGTGACAAAGTGGAAATTAGAAGTCAGTAGGAATCGTTTGGGTCTATTTATCGTTTTATAATTCGATAATGTAAAAATGATGGAGTTCATGTCTACATCAAACGATGAGTTAAGAAACCAATCTTGTCCCCATGATCTGTTTGAACTTGTTCAAATAACACTTGGGTCCTGCTGATGGAATGACTGTGCACATTCAAAACAACTCTTATTCTCTTCTGTCAGTGTTGAAAAAACATGGCAAAAATAATTTAAATGTCACAATGCTAACATCTTGAGTATCACAGATAGAAGTTTAAATAGTTATTTCACTTATTGGTTATATCAAAGGAAAAACATCAATCTGCAGGGTGTCAAAAACTCAGCCCTTGTAGTTGAATCCATCCTGCGAGCGATGGTGAAATAAAGTTTCAACAATTATTTCTGAAGTAAATCCAAATTCCTGCCATTTGTGGTCAGTCATTTCCTAACTGTACTACTTTTGTGTCACATTATGGCTCTTAAGCTCCTCCAGAAGTTGCGTATTTAGCAAATGTTTGGCAAAGCATTGGACGTTTGGAACATATTAAACACACAAATCAACGGCAGAGAGGATTATGCTGCGATAATGGTCTGAGAAGAGTCCATGGACAATTTGAAACTTCTTTTTGGTCAGGTCCAATGTAAACGTAAGGGTCGTTTAAGTCTCATGATTCAAGAACATTATGATTACTGTGTTTCCATTGCACCAGGCCAATGCTTGTGTGTACATTGAAAGTGTGTGCAGACAGCTAAGACCAAAGCATTTGTTCACATTGTTTGTTTTTCTACAAAGAAGTTTCCAATCAGAATGATTTAAAATATGTTGTAATTACATAAACAAATAGACAGCAAATGACTCAAATGAAGACCTCACTTATCAGTCAGAAGTCTAATTGGACATTAACACTGAGACCAAAAGCATACATGACAGGAAATATGCATTTACTATGTAATGAGTGAAAGCATTTATGAGCAAGTCATTGAGAGATGCCATTAACCACATTGCTTTTAAAGACGTTACAGCATAAATTGATACAAGTGTGTCATATTGTGTGTGTCACATATTAACCAGAAAAGTGCTTGAAGTTGTGACAGTGAAACCCCAACCTTTTCTCCCCCCACTTTGCAGTATTAAGCTGGCAGCCAGCAGGGGAAATAAGTACGAATGACAATTTACCAGGATGTTTCCCCTCCACAATATCCCTCCAACCCACTCTCATGAGTCAACCAAACAGAAAGTAGCATTTGGTAATAAGAGAGACGGATCAAAATAGAGAGAAGCAGCGTCAGCCAGTTAACTGTATCAGCGGTTGCATGTTGGCCTACAGTTTGTGAACAGTAGAAAGCAGGAAGGGCGAGAGTTAGTGGGCAGATGGAGGAGGATAATGTTTTGTCAAAGCAGTGTCTTTGTCCGTGTGATGTATAGTGGTGCACAAAATTGGCTTTGTTTCCTTAGTTTAACTTTCAGATGCAAATTAACATCCACAAAGCATCACTTTCACACACTATTTTCTGAAAAACACAAAACCTGTTAAGGGTAATGAGTTTCTGAAGACAATTTATTATATCCAGTGTTTTGCCGCCACAGCAAATGTGGGAATTATTCAGAGTTGGTGAATGTTTGTGCTGTGAAATGGGCCTTCCACTTAAAGGATGTGCTGGGTTTTTGTCTAATGAACAGAGCACTGTGTGCTAGTGTAGCTGATCATTCATGTTAGGCACAAGGAGCAACTTGGTGTGCTGCTCTTTAGGATTCCCACTGGGTGACACATGAATCTAAAAGAGTCTTTTATCTGTGATGAAATGCGCTCTTCCACTTTGGGTTATACCTTTATGTTGAACACAATATCCGTGCTTCCAGTTTTTGTTTTGATCCTCCACATGTTTAATGCATTTTTACACATAAGAAGCATAGTCAATGGGTTCAAATAAGTGGTAAAAATCTCACACCAAATTTAAACCGGAAATAAGATCACTTAATTAAAAGCACATTGAGATTTTTTACAAATGAAAACATGGTTAAATCTAAAAAAATGTACTCAAAGTGATCGTAGTCACAGTATGTGGTTAACTCCAAATGTCTGGATTAAGGATGACAGCTACAAATAATAAAAAACTCAAATCAAATGGTGTTGTTTATGACTTAATTCCTGTTTCAGCAGGCTTTAACAAACACCATTTCCCATTAGCCCTATATCTTCGCTGTTCAACCGTCAGCATCGTGACAAGACATGCGAGGAAAAGGTGCCACAGCGAGTATAGACAGGTCGTTACTACAGAGCAGACTGAATTCTGTAGCTGATTCTAGAAAGAAGATATTAATGATATAAGGTTGTAAAAGAACATTGTCATTTAGAATGTGTTATATTTGTAGATGAATCCAGTGACAATGAATAAAGCACCATCTTCTCTTTTGGAGGTGTGGTTTATAAAAAGCAGATTTAAAAGATGTATTTTTTTTAAATACAGATAAAAGAAAGACAGGTTGAGAGATTGCAGTGATATACAGAAGGTGGATGTAAAATATAATACGTGCTCACTGTGCCGTTGTTTTCCTATGGTGCCACCAAAATAGGAAGAAGCTAGCTTGGTGCTAAAGTTAAACAGCTGACTGGAAATCATGCTCCAAAGCGCTCTCAATTGCTCCCAACTGAGAATACCCCAGAGCCTACGTTTTTATTCAGGATAGTTCTATGCCGCAATGCATTCCCCTTATCATGTTGCGTTGTGTTGCTCTGCATACTGTTGTGTTGAAGAGCAGATGAGCTGAAAGCAGCAGTCCTTTTTCCTTCATTACTTTGACTGAGCGCTGCATGGGCTGCATCTCAAAACACGTTTATTATGTCTAATGCCTTAGGGAGAGACAGGTGGCTTTAATAAACAGATTGTGCATAAAGATGAGGATAATACACCATAAACCCCCCCCCCCCCCCCACTGTCTCGCAGCACGACAGCGTGCGTGCATCATTTTCTCTCTCGCTGTCATATACATGACCTTTCCATATGGGCTGCCTAGAGATATACCAAAGAACTATGATTTAAATACTCAAATACTGAGCTTTCGGTTGCCTTCTAATTACCGACATCTGTCACAGGGATTTATTTGTGGAGTGTGTATCTATGCCTGTGTGAATAAGGATTAGTGCTCGCATGTGTAACCGTACATTTAGGTGTGTGTGTCATTTTCTTTATTTGCTTGGCTGTGCTCAGCTGGTTTCGCCGAAGGGCTTTGTGGTTGTTAGACTGTCTTTCACACACTACATGTAAGAGTACGCTTCATCTGCGAGCAGCAGCTTGTGGCTGAATGTGGTGAATGTAGCATGAAGAGCATTAATCCTTCACCAGCGGAGGAACAGCATGTCTGACTGGCTGGTGATGGGGATGCAAATTGTTGGTTAAAGTTTATGTTGTGTGGTGTGGTGTTTACAGTGTGGGCAGTCATTGCCAGAGGCTCTTAACAGTTTTATGTGTCCGTCAGTTCAAGTCATGTCTTTACTGCCTTGGGTTTTCCCTCCATAACATTACATTGTTTAAACAAGTTGTTTACGAATTCAGCTACCAAGCTTTTTGAATTTGTTCTTGGGGTTGAGGCTACTGTCTATTGGTTTGGTCTATATCTGTAAGAATCACAAACTTTAAAATCTACTAAGCCCCACATCTCAGTACTTTATAACTACTTTTGCAAAGGAGTATCATCTTCTTCTCGCTAGTTAACCGAAGTATGAGTTTTTTCAAGAGGAAGGATTTGGCAGACTGGACCAGAGATTCAGCGTTTCAGACAGAGCGTGAAATCGGACAGTTTTTGAAAAATAATATTTTAAAACAGCTCAAAATACAACAGTGACAAAGTAAAGCTATAGACACATTATAGTTGAGTCCAGTCTGTTTATGTCCTTTACTTGCTACCATGCAATGTTGTGCTATACAGTAAAACCTAAATGCACTGTATCGGCAGGGAAACCGGGAGGTGTGGAAATAAATATTTTTCCGTCCCAACAGTTTTCCATCTCACTTAACAGTGTACAAAATAAATGGGCTTGTTGACGCTGTTGCTCACACTGTGTGCTTGGAGTGAAACTGCACAAAAAACATAATTTCCAATCCTTTTTAAAATAAGCTTTCGGTTTTCTACTCGGGGCCTTTGTTCATGCTACACCAGTGGCCTGCTGTCAGGGTCGGGGGGTGTGATCGATGTCTGTAGGCAGCAGGTGCAGGCAGGGGAGAGCAGAGCTAATGTCGAATGAATTTTCTTCTTTTCCTCTAACATTTAGTGAGGACAAAGAGAGTAAAATATCATGGCTTCATGAAAGTTAGAGAGAGACTTTCGGCACAGTCTTTAGCAAAGAAGATGCCATCTGTCCCCTCTGCTCATGTTGTTTCGATTAGTTTGAAGAGAGGAAAAGTGATAAAACTGTTTTATTTCTTGTCAAATGATAATGCAATGACGTGTTTGGATGACGTTAAACATGTGCATGACAGACAATGTAATGTGATTAATAGCAAAAGTGTAACTATACACAGTATATCCACAAATCTCAACTGCTTATAGTCTTGGGGAGGCTGTGGCTCAGTGGAATAGTGCGCTGAACTTCAAATCAACGGGTAGCAAGTTCGAGTCCCACTGCAGTCAGCATGTTGTTGTGTCCCTGGGTAAGACACCCCAAATTGCTCCTATGGGGATTGTCCACAGTACTGAACGTATGTAAGTTGCTTTGGATAAAAGTGACATGTAATGTAATGTCTATTTTGCAGTGCATCATACCGCAAAGCTGCGGTTATCACTGGAGCGGATAACTGACCACAGCAACCAGTCATTTCTGCTTCTACCAACAACTGAATGCAATTAATTTGAAGGCATGGCTCGAGGGCGAAAATATTAGTTTGTTCACAATACAAATATAACAAATGTTAAACGTGATACCTGCAGGGCTTCATTATGTGAGGACAGTGTAATTAAAAGTAAATGTGCCCCACAGACTTTACAAAGTTCCCTTTTCCCTGGGCATAGCTAGTTTCATCTTGTGCTGCATTTGCGTTCTGCTAAATGACAAATGTCCATTTCTCCAAAAATATATTGCCAGGGATAACTAATCCAGTATGATTCAAACCATCTATATTTGACAGGCAATTTGTTTAGTATATTGTGTGAAAAAGTTATACATGCAAGTCATATGTGTATTTACAGCATTTTGCTTATTGGTTCTTCCATACTATTTTAGTGTGTCTTCTTCAAACCCTCAAGCTGCACTCACAGGCCTTTGCTCTTTGCTCACTGCCAGATGTGAAAACAGCTTGTTAGTCTTGCACCTATGTTTAGGTCCCCTGCTAAATTCAGGCGCTACACACAGCTTTCTTCTTATTGGTTGAACGGCAAAATGTCTGTGGTAAACAAGGTCAAAGTGGAAATAATTTGAACTTTGAGCGCAGCGCTTGGCCATAATTTCGGGCCCTATTTGAGCTAGAGAAATACAAACATCTGCAGTACTCCAATGTTGCAATCAACAATTTTCTTCTTTTTTTTTTTCATTTTCGCACAGATATCAAACAGACATTTTACATGTAAAATACTGTGTTTTCCTAGTACAGCAATCAACAATTTTAGACTTAATAGGAAATAGCTCACACCACAATACATTTATCATCAGTTGCAAAAAAACTATTGGGCTGCAATATCCATCCCTTTTTATGTTTAATTTCACAACCTGTTTTGTATTTTCAAATCAATGGAGGTATTTTTCTAGAAAGACAACTAAAAACAATGGAATACACTACAACGTCCTGACTTGCATGAACATTTAAAACATGAATGTAAAAAATGGAGGTGTTAAATCCTTTGCTTCTTTTTTAATGTGGAAAAGCTAAATGTATCTTGTCCTGTATGTTGCTTTAAAGCTGAAGAATGGGACTGTTAAGCATATACCAAAGCCTACTCTTTTTCTTCCAGACATTGATGAGTGCCGTTTGCAGACACACACCTGCTGGAATGACAGTGTGTGTGTGAACCTCCCGGGAGGCTACGACTGTGTGTGTACGTCTGGTCCGGGCTGCAGTGGCGACTGCACAGAGGAAGAAGGAATCAGACGCAACGGAGAGGATTGGAAACCCAGCTTTGACCGCTGTGCTAAATGCTCCTGCAAGGTACCGAAGAATTACACAAACACACACATTCCTTACTCTTGGACTCTTGCTCCAATCAAGGAGAAAGGTTGTAATTTCTCCGTTTACATTTCCAACTCCAGACCCTCAAGGTGTACGACAACAAAAACAGACTGACATACTGATGAATTTGCCATTTTGAGAATGTTCCAGACTAACTTTTATGCAGAGAATATAACTTTTTGAAGAGTTAGATGAATAAACAATAAAGAGATGAATGATTATATAAAGGGAAATAGAGCTAAGAGGGAACTGGGCTGGTAAGAAATATGGAGCACCCATCAATCTTCTTCTTTTCTTTTTCTTTATCATGGCTAGTTTTCTTGCCTTTTTTCTGCATCTAAAACAGTTTTCTTCACTGGAAGGTTACTTTAGGCAACTTGTTTTGGTGTTGTTGTATGGATGGTTTGGTGTTATGATATCACTGGACCAACCAAAGTAATGTAGGTCTGGAAACAAAGCAAGGTCGGAATCAGAAATCAGAATCAGAAACAGGTTACATCACTTCAACAATGTTTTATAGGTTAGTTATTGGTGATAAACAGTCTAACTTTTAACCAGATAAACTTAGAAGAAAGGCTGCAAGTCATTTCAGATGCAATAATGCAGGAAATCGATTTGCAGTGAGCAAATGAAGACACATTTTAACCGGGAACTATTTTTGCAACAGACATATTTGAAAATCACTTTATTCTGCTCCTTAGTTTTTTCTTGCAAATAGGTTTGACCAAAAACGGTATGATTGTGTGAATGCCCATATTTCCTAGACGTTAGACTTCCTTGTCATGTTGCATTCTTCCCAGAGCTCAGCAATTAACATAGAGAAAACAAAGATATCACAAGTGTTAGAAGGGGCTGCCAAAACTACCAACAAATGACCCAAGTTGCTTATAAATCAGAATCATTTCTCAGGTCCAACTTTACCGAATGTACATGATTGGGGTTTAATAATTGGAGGCATGGTTTTGAAACAAACACATAACATATTAGATATTTTGAACAACTTTACATCCCGAGACCAAATTAAGCCCCAGGTGAAAAAGCACCTCATTGCTTCCATCTGTTTGTCATTGCATTCGACTAAATGTGGCATGGTGTGGCAGCAGGAAAGTTAGATATTGATCAGGTTTGTCTTTGGGAAGGTGAGGCTTGGTGATTGAGATTAATAGGAAACAGAGACAGAGGGTTATTTGGTATAAAATGATGGATGATGCTTCAATGACTAAATGGAACATTTACCAGCCTGCCATTTCATATGAACATAGATTATCATACTTGTGTATCATGAGTTATGACATTTCAGTCCTCATCTATTGATATACATAATTTGCCATGTAGTTATGTTTATTTACCTGCTTTTCACAAGGGAATTATATGGTAAATAAATACCCAAGAGCTGTTCCAGACTAAATAGACCCAGCGTGTAAAGATACACTGAGGTTGAGCTACTGTGGTTTGTGAAAGAGATAGAAAGGGGTAATCAGGGTCACAAAGTACAGTCTATTTGGTGATTCACAAGAAAACTGTCGATCGGATTGGTGTTTGCCCATGAAAGCAGGTTTGATTTGTTAGGAATAATTGACATTTGTGGATTTGTAAGCATGTGCATCTGAGGAATGACAGTAGGGAGAGCAGAACATAGTTTATAGAAACACTCCAACACATGACATTAAAGGTCCCCTATTACACAGTTTTTCATCAATATAGTATAGGTCTCAGATATATACAAAACATGTCTCTGAAGTGTTTGGCTCGAAATAACAAGCAGATCACCCATTGTAGCATCCCATAATCACAAATCACAAAGTGCTGAAAGTCTGTTACTTTAGATGAAAATAAGGAGCCCCTCCCCACGCCCCTCTGAGAGATCTTGGGTTACAAAGAACACAATGGTGCTCTAGGAGGAGATTCAGGTGATAAGGTGGGGGGGGGGGGGGGGTTACCTTGGTTGGTGATTGACTAATGGTTACACAAGCCACAAAATCGTTGTGACATCATAAAGTGGCCAAAATCTGATGAGCTCATTTTCAGACAGGTTTTTATAGAAATGGATCAGGACAAAAAGAGAGTGAATCTTTTTTCCTGAAACTTTCAGAATCTCTTTAAACAGAGGGGACACATGTTTATGTATAAAAGACATGAAAAAGTGGATTTTGCGTAATAGGTGACCTTTACGGCTACTTGCTTATCTTTCTTACAGTGCAGACGCTTTTCTGCTTGCTCTTGCCTCTGCTTACTTTTTATGCTGATTTTCCTATTCTTATTCTCTGAAAACTTCGAGCAGCGGCTCCTGGACATTAACTTATCACTGGGACAGTTCATCTTCGTAAATAGACGGAGGGTTTCAGCCATATTTCAACATTTTTACGACGACGTCAGTCTTACAATAGCGTGGCCTAGCAACAGCTAAAGCCTGGTAGGCTACTGCTATTTAGCTTAAGCTAGTTGGTAGCAAAATGCCTCCGTTCTCTACAGATGACTTCCAGAAACTTATACAGAAGATGGCTGTGTTGGAAATGAAAATGCAACGGTTGGAAGTTAACGTGGAAGTGAATGGACTATGTCGTGGGAATGACACGACTTTACCAGTGTTGCTAAGTAATGGAGAAGGGTATGCTAACTCACAGCTAGTTAGCAGCTACAAAGATTCCAAGGAACAGGAGGGCTGTGTACCGGGTAATAAATCTACAAGTGGTAGTCCTCCCTGGAACTCTCTGGGTGCAAAGCCTAAGAGTAAATCACTTCCATGGGTTTTGGGAGGACGGATAACAGGCAGAGCCCAGAGCTCCGAAATCTGTGATGCGACCGGCTGGCCTGCATTGTTATCACCCAGGAAGAGCGCCTCTTCAACCCCTATTCATACTAGGAAACAGCCGTGGACAGCTGCTAAAGGGAGAATTACAAACAATCCTCCTAAACCACCAAGTGTGCCAATCCAGAACAGATACGCTCCGCTGACCGAGAACCGGAGATCTGATGACCTGGATAACCTGTCCTCTTCACGCAGCAGGGTAAGGACCAATAGCTACTCTAAAAGTAAAAGGCTAGAGGGAAAGCTAACGACTGGGCCTGAAACTCTGATTGTGGGTGACTCTGCTGTAAGAGATGTAAAAGGTCTGTGTAGTAAGAACAACACCAAAGTACTCTGTTTTCCCAAGGATGTGGTCTCTGACTTGGCTGAGAAGATCCTGCATATTGGGGCTGAACATCCGACTGTGAAGAATGTGGTACTGCACATTGGAACAAATGATGTTGTGAAACAACAGTCAGAAGTGCTGAAAGAAGACTTTAAATGTTTGTTGGAAACTGCCAGCTCTCTAAATGCAGAGGTGTTCATCAGTGGCCCTCTACCGCCAGTCAGAAGAGGAGTGGAGAGATTCAGCAGATTGTTTGCACTGAACACCTGGCTTTCAACGGCCTGTACTGACCATTCTGTTCATTTTATTGACAATTTTAACTTTTTCTGGGATCGCAGACATCTTTTCAAGGCAAATGGAGTTTGCCTGAACAAGTCAGGAGTGAAATTGTTTATCTCTAACATATTCAACTGCCTGCGTCATCAATCTGTTCCCTCTGCCAAGGACAAGCGGCAGGAGGAATCAAAACACGAGAAAGACACAACACATCACGCAGAAAACCCTGAAGAATTATCACTGCACCCGCCTGAGGAATGTTCTGATTATGGGAGACATATGAGACACATGGAGGAGTCTCCACTGCCCCCCCCCCCTGTCAACGCCTTTGAGGATACTCCGTTCACCCTTTCACCCTCGCCCACCCTCCTGGAGATCGATGAACACACAAAGGAGATACAGAGGGTTGGCACCGATTCCTTCCTGGAGTTCAAAGACCAAACGAAGGCGATACGCAGGGCTGGCACCATGTCCTTTACCCCCGCTCCTCAACGACGCCCACCAAAATCACCGCGGAGACGCGCACCATCTCCCCCGTCCTCATCACCGCGCCTACGTCAACCACCTCCCCCCCCTGGCAGCATGTCCTCTACCCCCGCACCATCTAGCCCGTCTCCATCACCGTGCCTACGTCGACCACCTCCCCTCCCTTCGAGGGGGCTTCTGCAGTCTCCGAAGCCTGATAAGGATGTGTGTGTACAAAACACAACAAACTCTTACTGATATGTGATGGGTCCAGGCTCAAGGGCGTATGGCACTCTCAACTCTTTCAAGGACATGTCGGGGCCCTGCCTGCCAGTAGCTTTGCCGATATCTGTGTTGATAGGTAATAGATTAAGAGCGGTGAATCATAGAAACAGGAAGCGCTCAAACGTTTGTGTGAGTGTATCTAATTTAGCAGTGATTGCATGTCAGCCACAGCTTGTTACAAAAAACATGACTGATAGTGTGTTTAACAAACTTAAACTAGCTTTATTAAATGTCAGGTCTTTAGCAGGAAAAACATTTTTAATCAATGATTTTATCACTGAGCACAATCTCGATTTTATGTTTTTAACAGAAACTTGGATTGAACAAAATAACAGTGCAGCTGTTCTTATCGAATCAACCCCTCCCAACTTCAGTTTTATGAGTCAGGAAAGAATGCATAAGAAAGGGGGTGGAGTTGCTATTCTGTTCAATGATGCCCTTCAATGCAGGAAGACATCTTATGGAAACTTTGATTCTTTTGAATATGTGGCCCTCCGGCTGAAATGCTCCTCTCGAGCTCTGTTCCTAAATATCTATAGACCACCCAAATACTGTGCAAGCTTTTTTGATGACTTTACTGAACTGCTGTCTATAGTGTGTATTGACTTTGACCGTCTAGTCATTGTTGGTGATTTTAACATCCATGTTGACAACCCCCAGGACAGAGGGGCTAAAGAACTGTTTTGTGTTCTTGATAGCTATGGACTGACTCAGCATGTGACGGAGCCCACGCACAATAAGGGGCACACTCTGGACTTAATTATCTCAAAGGGTCTGAATATCTCTAAGGTTGTGGTGACTGATGTTGCACTCTCTGACCATTCCTGTGTTTTCTTTGAGAGCTCTATTTCTGTTCACAAAAATGTTCAAAAAGAGGTAACCACAAAGCGATATTTAACTGAAAACACTAGGGAAATGTTTACTCAGAATTTCTCTTCCACACTTGCCCCTGCCAACATCTCAGTAAATGAGCTAGTAGATCATTTTAATTCAAAAATTAAAAATGTTATAGATGCCATTGCTCCAACTAAGGTAAAGGAAGTGTCTGGCAAGAAAATATCTCCATGGAGAAAGGCCATGAGCGTGAAAACAGAAAAAAGAGAATGTCGAAAAGCTGAACGCAGGTGGCGAAAAACAAATCTCCAGGTTCACTTTGAAATCTATAAAGAGAGACTTGGCCTCTATAATTTGGAATTGAAAAACGCACGACAATCGTTCTTCTCTGACATCATTACCAAAAACAAAAACAACGCACGTGCCTTGTTTGCTACCGTCGACAGACTAACTAACCCCCCAGTGTCAGTAGCCTCTGAATTTCTATCCACCAGGGCGTGCAATGATTTTGCCTCCTTTTTCACTGACAAAATTCAGAAAATCAGACAAGCAGTCAGTGCCTCTGCATCAGGAACAGTAAATGTGTTGTCCCTATCTCCACTTAACATCAATTCAGACATCATGACACAATTCCATCAGATTAATGATAAAAACCTAGAGGACATTATTCAACTTCTGAAATCCTCCTCCTGCTGCCTTGATATTATTCCAACAGGATTTTTCAAAGATGTTTTGCCTTGCATGGCCTCAGATCTACTTCATATAGTAAACAAATCTCTTCACTCAGGTATTTTTCCACAGGCCCTGAAAACTGCAGTCATTAAACCGCTCTTAAAAAAGAATAATCTAGATGCTTCAGTAATGAACAATTACAGGCCCATATCAAACCTCCCATTTCTAGGTAAAATCATTGAAAAAGTTGTTTTTCAACAGTTGAGTAATTTCTTGCATTTAAATGACTGTTTTGATGTGTTCCAGTCAGGCTTTCGTCCAAACCACAGCACTGAGACTGCTCTTGTAAAGGTCTTTAATGACATCCACTTAAACACAGACAGTGGCAGAACTTCAGTGTTAGTATTATTAGATCTCAGTGCTGCGTTTGACACTGTTGACCACAGCATATTACTAGACCGACTGGAGAACTGGGTGGGACTTTCGGAAACAGTTCTGAATTGGTTTGAATCCTACTTAAAGGACAGAAACAACTTTGTTTCTATAGGTAAATACACATCTGAGTTGACAAATATGACATGTGGGGTTCCTCAAGGCTCCATCTTGGGGCCTCTTCTCTTTAACATCTACATGCTACCACTGGCTCAGATAATGAAGAACAACAAAATAAGTTACCATAGCTATGCAGATGACACACAAATTTACGTAACAATTTCACCAGGAGACTATGCTCCAATTCAAACACTGAGTAAGTGCATTGAACAAATCAATGACTGGATGTGTCAGAACTTTCTCCAATTAAACAAAGATAAAACTGAGGTAATGGTTTTTGGAGCCAAGGCAGAACGTATAAAAGTTAGCGCTGAGCTTCAGTGTGCAATGTTCAAAACAACAGATAAAGCCAGAAATCTAGGTGTAGTCATGGACTCTGACCTGAGTTTCAACAGTCACATTAAAACTGTTACTAAATCAGCCTACTATCACCTAAAGAATATATCTAGGATTAAAAGACTAATGTCACAGCAGGATTTGGAAAAACTTGTCCATGCTTTTATCTTCAGTAGACTCGACTACTGCAATGGTGTCTTCACAGGTCTCACTAAAAAATCTATTAGGAAGCTGCAGCTAATTCAGAACGCTGCTGCTCGAGTCCTCACTAACACTAAGAAAGTGGATCACATCACTCCTGTTCTGAAGTCTTTACACTGGCTTCCTGTGTGTCACAGAATAGATTTCAAAATACTGCTGCTGGTTTATAAAGCACTGAATGGTTTAGGCCCAAAATACATTTCTGACCTCCTGCTAAATTATGAACCATCCAGATCTCTCAGGTCTTCAGGGACTGGTCAGCTTTCTGTCCCCAGAGTCAGAACTAAACATGGTAAAGCAGCGTTCAGTTATTATGCTCCAAATATCTGGAACAAACTCCCAGAAACCTGCAGGTCCGCTGCAACTCTGACTACTTTTAAATCCAGACTAAAGACTTTTCTTTTTGTCGCTGCTTTTAATTGAACTATTCATATCTTAGACTGCACTGTAACTTTTATCCATGTACTTTTTTCTTTTAATGTTTAATTGACAGCACTGTAACTTTTATCCATGTATTTTTTCTTTTAATGTTTATTTTATTAGCTTTTCTTTTTAATGACTGATTTTAAATGCCATTTTCTTAATCTCTTTCATTTTTTGTAAAGCACTTTGAATTGCCTTGTGTTGAAAAGTGCTATATAAATAAACTTGCCTTGCCTTGCCTTGCCTTGCCTTGCCTTGCCTTGCCTTGCCTTGCCTTGCCTTGCCTTGCCTTGCCTTGCCTTGCCTTGCCTTGCCTTGCCTTGCCTTGCCTTGCCTTGCCTTGCCTTGCCTTGCCTTGCCTTGCCTTGCCTTGCCTTGCCTTGCCTTGCCTTTAAAGATTGAAACTTAATGGCAAAACAAATTCCCAAACTAACTAACAATTTATTCAGGGGAAAATAAAAGGACAAGTTGAGTTATGAATTACAAAATGTGCCTTAACAAGGAGCAATTGCTTACATTTTATTTAAGAAAGTTTTTGCTTGAATCAAATTACCTGCAGAAATAAAAGAGTCGATAGAAATACCTCATGTGATGACTTTGTTGTAAACATGTCATATTTTACATTTTTAAAGAGAATGTCATCTGTGATCATAAAGTTGTTGTCAATAAAGCCGACACTTAAAACTGCAATGATGTTGCTTTGGTTGGCACAACAGTGCAGCTTTAGCATTCACGCCTGGTCTTATTCCTGTCATTAAAATGAATAGTTTGCCTTCATTCGCCTTGCCGGCACGGTAAAAGTTGCAGTAAAGGGCCTTAACTGTAAAGACGAAGGCCATCAGGCTGCCCTGGGACTGAGCGGCTACTGTAGCAGGACAATATGCATCGATAAAACATTGGCTCTGTATTGCCCTTTTAATAGTATGTGGAATGATTTTATGGCTCCAATACATTTCTAATAGCCATTTTATTTATAACATTTTTACTTCTCCATAACGATCTCACACCAGGGCCAGACAGTGCTGGCTGTGGTGAGTAAAATGGATCATAAAGTTCTCTGGGTAGAGACGTAGAGACGCAGAGCCAGGGACAGGGCGTCTCGAAAAGCTCTGGCAGACAATTTGGCCCAGACTCCAAACTTCTTGCTCATGTATGCTTTAGTCACTGCTTTGATTAAATGCTGTGATTTGAGAGTTTCTGCCAACACATTAAAACATTTCGTAGATATGCTGGCCTTGAAATATCTGCCCAAATGACCCAGTGTGCAAAGAAATACTTCACCACCAAAATCCCCAGTTGTATATCAAATACTCACACCGTGTTGTGTTACCTTGAAGTCATGAAGGATTATGTTTCGCATACCTCCACTGTAAACGAAAGATACAACAAATTGGGGGCTGCATTCAACGAGAACAAGTCAGATTTATTTTCAGTCGTATGCTCACAACGTCCTTAACAAACAAATGCATTTTCGTAATTCATAATACTCCCACATGTGTCCAACGCTTGCCTTTCAATTTATCAATGTATTATTTCCCTTTGTATTCTTCATTCACCATGAACAAGTGTGATAAAAACACATTTTCCTCAAGAATTCAACAATTGCGAAGTAATTGATACATAAATTGTGTTTTGGGAGCGTAAAATTGCTTCAACTAGCTCTCACTAAAAGCATCTGAGAGAGGCTTTAGATATGCTCCGTGATCATATTCCTAAGTGTTGGATTTGTTTGATGGGACATTCAGTGTTCTCTCCAGGATGATAGTCTTTTCAAATATGAAAAGGCTCTGGTAAGACATTCAGGGCTTCAGGGAATCCTTAAACCCTTCACTTTTACCACACTGCTGGATCTTTCAGTCTCAACAGCTCTTGAAGGCAGGGTTAACCGCCAGGGATGCAACGGCAGATAAATGTTCCCATGGGTTAATAAACTTGTGACAACATCTGTGTCACCCCCCACACTAGACATTTTACAAGAGATAAACAGAGCTTACTGTGATCTTATCAATTGTATTGCTTTCTGCTTTCTTTTTGTCTGGTGTCAGCATCCATGGTTCTCTATACTGCTTCACACAAAATAGCTGACGTTTGGCCTTCTCATTGACCCTATGAAGTTGCCTATACACATTAGGTTTATATCCCAGATATTGTCAAATAGTTGTGATTGTTGCTCACTCCTTTTCGACACTTAAACGTTCAGCCAATAATGGTAGTGTCTGTATTTAGACTTTGTATTTATAACACACTGAGTATTTAACAAATTAGAGTTCTTTGATGAGCATGTGAGCTGAAAGTTGCAAATTAACTAAATGGGTTTTTGTTTCTATTTTGAAGAAGCAATTAATGTAATGGGTGTTTTCCCGAACACCATGTAACTGCGGTAACAATGACGTCTGTGGTAAATATCCCTTACCTATTCAAAGATACAGAAACGCTTCTCAGCCAAGGACATCAGGCAAAGAATCAGAATCAAGTTTATTGCCAGGTACGTTTACACATACAAGGAATTTGCTTTGGTATCTGGTGGTGCGAACATAAGCAATCTAAAAAAAATGGTTGTAAAGTAGGTAGAAAAAAAATGAAATATATAATGATAATAAAAAATAAGCATTTTTAAGAAACAATTTAGCATTAAAAAGGATGCTAAAGACAAGTATTTACACCAAATTTAAATCTAACTATAACATTTGCATTTTTGCGCTATTTCTGTGAGGTCAGCTACTTGCAGTGAGTCAGGCTACCATCAGGACTTTAGTGTGTGTCCCCCTGATGCTGTGACTCCCCTCTGACCCGCAGGACGGGCAAACGTACTGCAGAAGGAGACCCTGTGACTGTGGAGACTCAGAGGAGGACCTGTTCTGCTGTCCCGGCTGTGACAACAGGCCCAGCAGCCAGTGTCTGGATCAGAGCGGACGCACACTCTATCGCAGCGGAGCGTCCTGGCAGTACGGCTGCCAGCAGTGCCGCTGCATGGTCAGTTCACAGGAACACATACACACACTCAAACATGTGTGTTCATATTGAATCCCTGAATGTGGTCTGTGAGAATAAACTGATGACATAAAAAACAAAGAATCTGTAACACAAGGCTCAGAGCTGGGCTTTGTTCAACACACGTTCTGCTTCTAATTATGTATGCACTGAAGGCTTTGATCATTATCACCTCTCTAATTGGCGATGTGGCAACAAATCAGTGTGAGAGCTGTAACTGAAATTGCCTGATCAGCTGAGTCACAGCAAAACAATCAACACACAATAACATTGGTGCCACCTTTGTCTTTCTCTACCTCACTCAGGAGGGGGAGGTGGACAGCTGGCCTCTCGTCTGCCCCGTGTTGATGTGCGAGTACACGGCGGTGGCGGAGGGCGAGTGTTGCCCGCGCTGCGTCACAGACCCCTGCCTGGCAGACAACCTGTCGTACGACATCCGGCAGACGTGTCAGGACCCCGCAGGTGCCGTCCGCCTGAGCGGGGACACATGGCATATGACCAACTCACCCTGTACTAACTGCGAGTGTAAGGTAGGTTAAAGCCACAACCACAATGACGTTATTTGTCCAACTAGTGTCGACAATTCAGTGTTCGACTAAAAGATCACAACAATTTGTATTGTTGGAAATTCCTTATTAGGAAAACCCCTCGAGAACTCATTTTCAAGGGGGTCCTCAACAACTTCAAATGTATTTACTTGGTCATTTTTAGAAATAATTCTTGCTCAGTTTCCCTTAAGGAGAAAAGTGTTTTCAACGGATCTAAAATACCTCCAACCCTGTACCTAGGCAACTGTACATGTAGTACAAAAAAAATCGAATGCAGCTACTTAAACGTTATTCAGATTAGGTCATTTATAAAATTGCTCTGTACCTTTACAATGACACGGATAATGATATAGGCATTATAGGTTATTGGTACTGTAAAAATGTGTTCAAGCTGGAAACTGTGCTACAGTGAGTTTATGTGTGGTAGAACATCTGCTTGTCTCTCTTTTAAGATGATAACAAATTAGATTTGATTTGCACAGATGATGAAAGTATATTCAGTCTTAAAATGACTTATTTTGCAAATCAATGTGTCAGGAACATGCCACTATAACTCAGATCATCTCCCTACACATTTAAAAATAATCTGTTTTCCCTCAGCTCTGCCCATTTTTATGTGAATCAAAAGCATCATTAATACCACATGGCAGGTGTTTTTGTATAGTGGTAACATAAATGAAACTTTCTATACTTTTGCCAAATTCTTTGAGCTTAACAAAAAGTTCTAACCAGCCGCTGTAGTGTGCTCGCTCACGCTGGGGTCACAGCGAGTGGTAACAGCTCCAGTCGGAGCTCAGGCCTGGGATCACCCACTCTGCTCTCAGTGTGCTGCATCACTGTTAGTAAAGACAGAGATTTTCCTCTGAGCTGTGGGGGGGCCGCGCTTTCAGCCAAAGCTGAAGCCCCCCATAGTCAGAGGGCGCAGGCTCCATTAGCCCGGTCAGTTGGCTATTCGCCTTGCCTTTAAGGGTCAGTTCAGCTAAGAATCTTGGAACGGCAGATTTCTGCTTTATGCCTGATGAATGCATTTGAGCTACATATTGCTTCATGTTTATAATATTGTATGCCTATGTTGCCATGATGTGATTGTGCAGGAAGCTTTCTTTATGATGTGCCTTTTAAGCTACATGTAACATTATTTGTGCAAGATATATGTTGATTTAAGATTTGTATTGCCCAATGGTGCCATTTAAAAAAATATATATATTTGAATGATGTGCTTCGAAATGTTTTATATTAAATATATCTCACTGCAAGTGATGAGGACAGTGACAGTGAGTCTAATGCGACAGAGTCTTCTAAGATATTGATTTCTGGGGATTATTTCTAAGTAAAAAAGTTCCTATAAAAGATGTTTCACTGCAGTGAGGTCTGTTATTGACAACTGGGAATATCTCTGTGGAAACCCCTACTGTTCAATGTTCTAAATGTCGCCCTGCTCGGAGGCTCAAGAATATCTCATAGCCATAGCAGATAATCATGAAACTGAATGGGTAGATATGACTAATAACGTTTTTCCTTTTGTAAAATGTGTGCACTGACCCTCAAACTAAATTATACACTTCATTTCAAGTTCCCTCTATATTGCGTCTAAGTATTTCAAATTTGTATGGCCAGGCAGACTCTGAATCGTGTTATGACATGCAACATTAGGGCACATCATAAAACTCTGCAGTATATTTAACACCCTCTATCTTTCCTGTCTTTTCATGCTGCGGCGCTCAGAATGGGAATGTTTGCTGCTCGGTGGATCTCGACTGCCTTCAGAACAACTAAAGCTCTCCTCGTCCTGTCCTCTCACTGCCACGCCCCCACCTCCATCTGATGACGCTCCCTTTGGATTCATATAACAGACTCACGCACACACCTGTGCATGCCAGTGTTTGCACCGAAAATACAAGCATGCACTGGAAAGACTGGGATGTGAAGGCTGTGCTTTTATGCCGTGACTCGACAAACAGCTACACAGTCACTGTGTTGTGTATGTGTCTTTGTGTTGTTTCCATTTCACTAAATGTCTTAAGGAAGCGTGTTTAGCATGTCTCAAATCTGAAAACAGAGCATCAGAGTGCTGTCGTAAGGGAAAGGATTCAAAACAGAATAGACTATGAGATGTTCCGGCTGTCCGTGTTGCAAAATGTAGAAGTTGTCATAAAACATTCATCATTGTGGTAACACAAAAGTAATCCACCCACATTTGATATGGTTTTCTGGGAAGCAGAAAATAGTTTGATGAGGATATCACAACTTTGGGAAAGCTAGAAAAATACCTCATCTGTAATTTGCCCTAAAAGTACAGATTCTGTCTGATGCGTTTCACACTCAGGCCACTATGAATATCAGGGCCATAGTATGAAATGCTTCCTTTTAATAATGAAGTTCTCAATTCTTTACGTGTTACTGGCACTTTGAGTTTTTACAAGCAGCACCAGGACGCATCATTAGTTTTGGTCTCTGTGAGGCAGATCATGTCAGGTGCAGTCTTGAAGTGTCACAGTGATTTGATTGTGAAGTGCTTGTCGGACCATCAAGCAGTGTCTCAGTGTTGGAAATGGGAACAAATCTTGTTAAGAAACCATTTAGGCTTTTTCTTGTCTCATGTTTGGTTGTCTGGAAGTGTTCACTGTTAGCCCCATTTGTAGAATTCACTGTCTCGCCCCTCTCTGTAATTGCAGACCTGAGGGTGTCCGTGGTTTGTTTCAAACAACCCCCAGCCTTCAGTTACTTTAATTGTCCTGCCTTTGTGAGTCACATCCATCAGATCCAGGCTCTGAATTAGGACATAGCTGGGTACCACTTTACAATAAGACTACCCTTATAAAGGATTCATAAAGGGTTTATAAATAGGTTATGAATTAGGTGGTAAACACTTTATTAATCATTAAGAACCATTTATAAACCAGTTATAAAATAGTTTTCATACATCAACACAGGCTCACTATTTGGCAAGATGACTAAGCCTTATATTGACTACTTTGCTTACTTCGTCTTCTTCATCAGCCACATCCTTGGTATTTGTTGTTCACTGAGTTGATTCCCCCCCTTCCATCTTGATGTTTCTTGGCATCTTTTTATGACCATTTATTTATGAGTTACTAACATTTATAACTGCCAAAAGGGAGACTTGTAAAGTGTAAAACACATTCCCATTTATTAATGAGTTACTACCATTTCTAATAAGGCTTAGTTAGCAGTACAGATAAATGTGGGCTCACTATTTGGCAAGCAACCGGTCACAGTTGCCCTGTTTATCTCATGTCTTATAAAAGCTTATTAATGATTTATAAAGTGTTCATAACCTAATTAATAAAGGAATTAAAAACTATTCGTAAACCCTTTATAAGGGTAGTCTTATTGTAAAGTGGTACCCATAGCTGTTGTCTGTTGAGCCATTAACGCTGCCGTCCCTCAGCCTCAGAGTCTCCTCTCTGATGTGATTGACTGCCAGTCATAACAAGTTATGATATCAAAAGCCTGTGTAAGCAGTTCAATGGTGAACAAAAGATCCCTGCAGGCTAGATGAAGCAGCAGTCGTAGCTATTGTTAAAATCTTCAGAGCTCGTGTGGGTCAGACTTCTCTGGCGTCTCCCTGGGCTACTTAGCTCTGAAGCAGATGGCGCACACAGAGAGTAGCAGAGAGAGAGAGAGAGAGAGAGAGAGAGACATACCAAAAGAGAAAGAGCAGGAGGGTGGGTGTAATTAAAGCCATGTCAAGCAGGCCTGGATTTGAGTATGCCAGGAGGTCACCAAGTGTTGAATTTGTTTACAGACGGCAAGGCTTAATAAGGCCGGAGAGTCTGGTGCACTTCACACTTTCACAGCTCTGACGCTGCAGTTGTTCCCCCCGTCCTCACCTCTCTCCATTATCCAAAAGCTTGTCTCAAAACGTTTCCCTCAAGTGTCGTTGTTATCACCCTGTGTGTCCATCACTGTCTGTTTTTTTGCTTCCACTACAGACAACCAGGGGGTATTTCCAACGCTGTCTCAAAAGTTTGTTAAAATAGAGCAAACTTTGAAATGCGAACTACATGTTGGGGCCATGAATTATGCTTCAACCATGAAATGATTACCTGATAACAGCAGCGTTGTAGATATCAGGACTTTTTCTTCCTCTTCCAGGAGATGCTGCCTCAGAATGAAAAACTGCCTCCACAGATTGAGATAATCCTTCAGAGTGAAAATGAAACCTTCATTTGTTTTCATCAAAGATCATTTTCTATGTAAAGCGAACCGGCTGGAGTTCTTAAGAAAAATGATGTATCAAAGTCAGGAACACTGTGAATCCTAGCACACTAACTTGGAGACATTTTTAAGACAACATCTATCAGTAGGCATGGAACTCACATCTGTGCCCACCTCGCCATGTGGTTTGTGTGACTATAAAACTTAACGTGAACCACTAGCTACCACATCACTCTATCATAGCCAAAAACAGTGCATATAGAGCACCTTTTAAATTAGTGACAAGAAACAAACTCAAATATGAGCATGCCATAGGTCTCTAAAGGCAGGAAATGACTCACTTCTGCAGACTCACTTCTTGAATGTTATGGTTCAATATCACAATAATTTGTCATGTCTCGGAAACTTATGATGAAAGTCTATTCTTTATATTAGTTTTGTCATGTCCCTTTGTTCTGTGCCCTCTGTCTTATTGTGAAAAGTTATTCTCCCTCTCGTTTCAGAACTCCATGCTCCCCGCCCCTATGTGTCTCCTGTGTTCGTGATTGCTTACCCCGCCCTGATTGTTTCCACCTGTTCCCCTCACCTTGTGTATATATTGTGTTAGTCCCCACCTGTCCAGTGCCAGTTCGTTTCTTATTCATGACCACGTTCAAGCCTGCTCCGTGGTCGTATCCTGTTTTCTCATGATCACGATTATTGCATTTAGTTTTTCCTCGGAAGAGTGATTTTTTGTTTCTTGTTTTTGTTACTGTGTTAATTCCAGTAAAGTCTTTATTTTTGAATACCACCCGAGTCTGAGTCTGAGTTGTGCATTTGAGTTCATGCCTCTGAGTTCACCCCTTGACATAATTTCCTCTGGTAAAGAGTCAATCTAAATGAAATGATCTTGTCATTTTCACCGCTAGTGTGAGTTCAGTTGTGTCTTCAATGCCTACACTAGCTGTAAAGGGAAACACATTGATGTATTGATTAGGTGACTTTGGTCTTAGGAGTTTAAAATAAGTCTCCCCTGTTCTAAACTTACACGATAATGTCACACTAGATTTTGTTTCTGGTCGTGTTTCGAACATATTTGTCCTCCCTGTGTGCTGTAACTTTGGGAAAGTTGATGCTGGTTGTTGAACCTCTGAAGGGGACAGTTGCATGCAGCGAGGTGTGCCGCCCCTCTGACCCCTCAGACACAATATCCTCATCTTTGTTTGCCACCACATCTGTTTGTGTCTCACTTGAGCATTCTTCCCTGTACTGTCCTCCAAAGTCACTATGCCTCTTGTAAAACTAAAAAGGTCAACTGTGCACAGAGTACGGTGGCACAAAAGAAAAACAAGTGATGTAAATTAAATCTGTACCCATCAACACAGCAATCAAAAGCAGACATTTGTACAAAGGATCACTGAAAACGATGTTTTTGGATTGCTCTGTTGATTGATTTGATATGGAATATAATGACTACTGTACAACACTATTTGCAAGTCTGTGTGTAAATGTTTTTACATACTAACAATATGATACAATTATACAGTTTTTTAATTATCATTGTGTTCATGAATAACATGTTAATTTCAGTGACTACTTTTTGTGGGATAGGCTCTGTTTTGCTGTAAATACTGTGTAAAGTGAAGGGTTCTGTAAAGAGAGTACGATTATGTGAATAATTCTCACTACCACAGCTTCTTAGGATTTGAGAGTTGCATGTCGATTATGACAGAGAAGCAACATTTCTATTGTTTTTACTATTTCTTTATTTTTCTATTCTTGCCTTAACCCTTTTATAATTGGTCATAGTTTAATGTCTTTTCACCGTTTGGCAACATTAGACAACATTATGTATTTGACTCGCCTGTGTATACAGATTTCTGATCAGTGTGTCCCAGACAGATCTGAAGAATTTTGAATTCCAGATGTAGACCAGCATCAGTCCCAGGATTCTTTGCAAATGGACGAAGAGCCCGGACAGACTTCACTTCACACGTTTTTATTTTTCCAACACATGTCTGTATGAACTGAACTGTCTTAATAAGAGCCCGAAAATAGAACTATGTACACATGTAAAAAAAAATCTAATATTGAAAATGACAATGTTGTTCTTGACTCAGTTCCTACAAAAAAAGCAAGCCATTGTGTTTAATGTCTGACTTTTTAAAAGAAGCAGTTTTGGACCTTCTAGATCCTAGATGTTCATGTTTTTGATAGAGGAACACGGCGGAAGAATCCTCCAGGTCTGTTCATTGTTTATTCTCCAGATCAAAGTGGCCAACTTTATTGTACCCAAAGGGTTAAGTGTCATTTGACTTGAAGACTGTGTCGTGATAAGAGTTTGCTGTTAATAAATATTTTAGTTGTTTACTTTATTTGGTCTTTTGCTTCAGAGTGTGATGATGACTGCCAGGACAGATTCTGTATATGGCAGCTGTCAAAGACGCTTAGATGGCTCGCCATCACGCCATCCACGGGCAGCTTAAACGATAGCAATGTTTCCAAGCCTCATAAATGAAAGTCAATCCCACCATTGGGATGGAGTCGTGGAAATTACTTTCATGTTTCTACTTTTATCAATACTGCTGTTATTTTATTTCCCTCAGGAAATGTATGAAAGGCTGCGTAGCAGTACAGATAAGTTCATTATTTTGATGGTTTAAGAGAGCGCCGCTGTGCTGTTAACAGGAAGCCAGTAAAGAAACACTTCTGAAGCTACATTGTGGGAGGAAAAGAATGTTCATGCTTCACATCATGAAACATATTTTCCTGCAGCATTTATTACATTGCACACAAAAAGCACCTATATTTAAACTATACTAAGTACAAACATGGAGGTGTTCAAAAATAGCTGCAAGTTACTCTAAACTACATAAATAACATGATTTTCTGTGAACATTCAATAACTCCAGAGTTGTCATGCTGGTGGTCCAAGAAGAAGGATCAGGTAAACACCAAAGTCAGCAGGTTCATCCTCTGTGAAAACGGAATGTCTGTACAAATCGGTTTCTGTGTTAAGTCTGTTTAATATTTCTTTATACATTTCAGTTTGAACCTTTTTATAGACTGACAGGAAGACATTCTCCACACGTTTGCCGCGAGTGTGGCTATGTTGCACCGGGTTCAATGTATTTGTTCATTCTAAAATGTTGAGCTTACAGACTTGGAACAGGGTATGGTTATGCATCTTGCACTGGCTGATCAAAGCATTTCACTTTCTTTTTTACTATAACTCAAGGTTTTTGTAGCCTCATCCTAACAATGCAGGTCATACATGATGATTCAAATATTCTGTTTAATGTACATCCAACCAACCAATACCTCCTCTTTTTGACTTTGCAATCAAACACAATCCAGGCAACAATTAACATGTCCTACTCAATATGTTGACCTTGTATTGTATTACTATTATGATAATTCCTGTGACTACACTATAACATCACACACAACTCTATTGTCTATTGAATGTAGTGTCCCAGTTCAGCAAGATATATTGAAACTACAATAATGTAAAATAAGATCTAAAAACACACCAGAGAATACACACTTTCAATATTATACTAATATTTCCCTTTATGTCATCAGTCCCAGTGCATTACCATGAACATTTGCCTCCCACAGATCAGTATGAACGTCTTCATCTGAGATGGTGAAGTGAGATGCCTCTGGAGAGACAGGGTTGGGGGGGCTGCTCTCTAGTGATGGTTCAGTCAATTAACCTACTGTCAATCAACTGTGAAGCAAGTGCTCTGTTGTTCTCTCCACTCTCTGGCCGGTCACCCTGAGTGTTGGCCCAGCGCTCCCTGTCCTTCCCGGCTCCTGCTACCCTCGGCCGGGACCAACTCCACCCAAAGGTGCTTACCATTCATGGACTGGAACCTTTGAGGTCGCCACAGAGGTGATGGAGTGACTCTCTCAGCAACAACTCTCATCTACGGTATAGATGCGAGGGGGGAGGAAAGGGGGGAGGAGAAGCAAGATAGAGCTAGAATTGCATGAATGTCCTGACTCCTGACATAACAGCACAAAATTGCAAATAGCTTTTTCCATCAGCTGTTTAACTTGATGAGATATCTTACTCTTCCTGATAGATTTCTTTGGGGGGTGGGTGGCGACAGCAGATAGAGCTAGCAGTTTGGCATCAGCTCAGCAAAACAGAAAGTAGCTTCTGCAGTCCCCCCAACCCGCCCCCCTCCTCCACGAATGCTTCCCCTAGCCACCAGCAGTCAAATCAATCAATTTCTCCTATTTCTATTGACATTTCACAAAAACCCCGGGCAGCTTCATTCAACTACAAGAGGCAAAAGATACAACTGCTCCACCTCAGGCTGAGAATGAATTCATAAGCTATGTGCATATTGCTAATGTAATACATTGAGGATTAAGCTGCTTAAATGTGTTATTGACATCCTGACCAATCAATGGCTGTATAATTAAAGAGTGCAGCTGAGCCAGTGACAAGGCGAATCACGCCGCCACTATTGACCTATGATCAGTCATGTGCGTTGTGTGTATGTGTGTGTGTGTGTGTGTGTGTGTGTGTGTGTGTGTGTGTGTGTGTGTGTGTGTGTGTGTGTGTGTGTGTGTTTGTGTGTAATTTAATAGATTTGTATGACCTGAAGAACCCGCCTGCCGAGTCAATATTCCTGATGTTTGATGTGATTAATATTTATGCATTATGTTTGGATGTTACATTAAATCCAAAGTGTAAAGAATGAAATAAATCAATATCTAGACTCACAAAAATGAATTACATTATTCCATGTTCAAGCAAGGGTAAAATTAGTAAACCAGACGGAGAAGATAATAGAAACTGGAATCTTGTTTTTAGCTCCTGGCCAAAGGTTTGTTCGCATAGCTAAAGGCGTTTAAAGTATTGATGTTCACAGTGTAATGCAGGAGAAGCCTCTGCGAGCATATACAAAAAATTGCCTACTTGGAACTTTTTATACCTTCAATGTTAGACTTTTTCCCTCCTCTTTGATAAATTGCAGTTTCAGATCTTAAGATGAAGTCGTAAGATACCAATGAATGTTAAAAATTAAGTGTTTCTTTTTAAATTAGAGTGGGCAGTTCACCATCCCAAAGTATGAATCTTTCATAGAGCTCCTGAAAGGATGAATGAGATGAAACGGATAAGCTGCAAGAGAGAGATCTAATAAAGATACATAGTGAGCTGAAGCAGTGTGTGCATTGACAGACTGTGTGAAACACCTAAGTGAGAGTTTGAGCATGTTGTATAACTATAATGTATAACTCTACCTTTATACTAATTTTTAAAAACCTTCAACAAGAGTGCTCTAAAGGTCAAAATGAAGAAAATTGAAAAAATAAATGAATCAAAGGTTAAAAAACTCTAATTAGCCAGAGGTGCATCCTGAGTCCTGGATCCTGAGTCCTGTATCGCAAGCCCTGGATCCTGAGTTGTGGCTGTGCCTGTTGCTGTGGTCCTGAGACCTGGATCCTGAGACCTGGATCCTGAGTCCTGGATCCTGAGACCTGGATCCTGGATCCTGAGTCCTGGATCCTGAGTCCTGGATCCTGAGACCTGGATCCTGAGTCCTGGATTTAAAGTCGTGGCTGAACCTGTCACTGTGGTCCTGCCTGACTCTCATCATACTACTTCTCTGATGGCTCCCACAGGATTGTAGCTGACATCCTCCTGGATTCATCTTCCTATTATAGACACATGCATTTCCAAACATTTGGACTACCTATGTTGTAAATGTATTATCTCTTCGATTTACACACGGCATCTATTGCACGTATGTCCGTCCTGGGAGAGGGATCCCTCCTCTGTTGCTCTCCCTGAGGTTTCTCCCATGTTCCCTTTAAACTGTGGGTTTTCTCCGGAAGTTTTTCCTTGTACGATGTGAGGGTCTAAGGACAGAGGGTGTCGTATTGTCATACTGATATTCTGTACAAACTGTAAAGTCCACTGAGACAAATGTAACATTTGTGATATTGGGCTATATAAATAAATATTGATTGATTGATTGAGGTAGGAAGTAACTAAGTACTATGTACCCTTAAGTACAATTTGGAAATACTTATACTTTACTAGAGTATTTCCATTGTATGCTACTTTGTACTTTTACTCCACTACAATTCAGAGGCAAATAGTGTACTTTTACTCCACTACATTTATTTAGTACCTTTACTTACTTTGCAGATTTGGATTAAGGATGTGAAATACACTTAAATCAGACTTTATTTACACCTGGAGTAAATTAACAAACTACCCTGCAGTATACACAGTCATTAAAACTAGCTGCGCCTTTACCAGCTTTGAGAACACTTTAATGATTCATAATTATAATCAAAACATATAATATATTATTCTGGAATGGACCAATCTGCATAATGACTACTTTTAGTTTTGATACTTTAAGTATATTTTGATGCTAATACTTTTGTAATTTTACTTGCGTAACATTTTGAATCTAGGACATTTACTTGCAACATAGTGTTCCGACACTCTGGTGTCTTGATATGGTTACTTGAAGTAACCATATCTTACTTCTCCCCCCTCTGTATATAGTAGAAGAAGGAAGTAGTAGTTATTGGAAAGATTCAAAGTAAATTATCTTATAAATGATTTGTTTAATTAACCTATGTGGTTAATTGCATGACTAAAGCTGCATTATTTAATTAGTGGCCACTAGGGTACAGAAACATGGCTGCACCAGGGTATATCAAATCAAATCAAATCAAGTTTTATTTATATAGCACATTTATAAACGATTTATGGTCGAGCCAAAGTGCTGTACATATAATAAAATTAGCCTACAGTAGAGACACTTTACAGCAAATACAACAAAACAGATTGTTCAGAATATCAGTATGAGAAAAAACGACACCCTCTATCCAGATCTCTGACAATATCCAGATATCTGACAATAATGTTGGCAATGATGGCTCCTGGACTTTCGGGCAACGTTTCAATCAAAACGTTTTCCGCTGTCAACCTTTCCAATGATTACTTTGGTGACTTACTGCAGTTCGGGCAACATTTCCATCCAATGATTGCACTGAGAGCTTCACCATGTCTTCACCATGAGCCTTCAGAGGGTTCCTTTGCTGTGAGGACCTTGGGAAAAGCAAATCTAATGGCATTCATTTTGAGGTTTCTGATTTTAAAGTGTGCAACTCGATTTTGACAGGAAAGCAACTGGAGACTTCTAGAATTGTGTGAGTAACATTCTGTTTTTAGACTTCTCTGTTTCAGTGTGTGTACTATGTATCAATGCTCTGAAGTTGATCTGACTGAAATTGTGATTTTAAATCTCAAAACCGCTACAGTATCTGTCAGGCAGAAACTTGGGACAAGTAATTTGACTGAAACCTTAAAACTGAACTAACTGATTGCTAGGGT